TGATACAGACAGATCAATGCATGTATTACATGTGATGGTATTCTGTTGCTTTTTTTCTACCTAAACAAAACAATCTACTAAACATTTTTATGTTTTGCATATAAAATGGCACAGTGTACTGGCAGGAAAAATGCTTTGAATCCGTCTACCCCACTGCTGGGTGAGGTACTCCACAGAGAACGCAATGGTGAGGGGTTTGTTGTTTTTTGACAGCACCATTAGAAGCATGAAATCTTTTTTAAAGGAGTGGCAGAGTCTTGTAATAAGGGCTACAGGAAATGACTGTATTGGGTGTGGAAGAAGAAACAACAGTCCAGATTTAACACATGAGCCACCAAAATAGTTGAAAACAGAGTGCAGGAAATGGCCTCATAAAATAGGCTAAACTATACTATACACTAAAAGGAAAATGGATGAATAATACAAAAGCCCATTGTTTACAGTGATAGTGTTGATCACTCTAAATAGAGATTCAAAAGGATCACAGAAATCTGAAGCATATCAAATGTTAAATTGAAAATACTAATGCCTGATAAAACACTGCTATTTAATATATAATAAACACAAGCTACAATATAACAAGGAGCTGTTTGAATGTGTAGTATGCTGATATAATTATGTGCAAGTAAAATGGTCTGAGACACAAAGGTAGTATTTATAGTTCCATGTACCTTTAAAAGGGTACTGTCATGTCAAAATCACACTGTTGTCAAATAATTTTTCTTCAGCATTCACCCTTTAGAAGACTAAAATTGAATCTGTTTAATTGTACTCTCAATTAATCTGTTATTACTGGGTGAATTTTCTCTTTCATGCACACATGGCACAAACAGATTAAATTTGCACCGTCCCCTGTATTATGAGTCCATCTCTTAACCACTAGGCAAAACACAAAGCAATCCTGTGACTCATCTGCTGCTGCTGTTTTAACCACTAGCTGGAGTCAAGAACCACAACCCCTTTTCATTCCTGCACTAGTGTTCTGCCTGTTAGCGTGCCACACCTCTAATCACCCTCCCTCCTTCACTGGGTTATGCTAGGTTTGCATAAATTCTGGTAGAATGTATGGAGTTGGTCCCCGGTATACCTTCTGCTCATCTATGTCAACTTCACCCATTGGGCACTCTGTATGTTTTCTGATAGTCATAGATTTTGTGCCACAGAAAAATGAAATCAGTCAATTGGTTTGAGGGGGCACACAGAGGTAGTTTACACTTAATATATTTTTTGATTGCAGAGGTATGTATTTGTATAAATATTATACATATTTGATTTTATCCTTGTTCCTCCACTCTTTGTATATGTCTTATTCTTAGACCCAGTTCCTGCAGGTTTCAGAGTAACAGCCGTGTTAGTCTGTATTTACAAAAAGAAAAGGAGGACTTGTGGCACCTTAGAGACTAACCAATTTATTTGAGCATAAGCTTTTGTGAGCTACAGCTCACTTCATCGGATGCATGCTGTGGAAAGTGTAGAAGATCTTTTTATATACACACAAAGCATGAAAAAATACCTCCTCCCACCCCACTCTCCTGCTGGTAATAGCTTATCTAAAGTGATCACTCTCCTTACAATGTGTATGATAATCAAGGTGGGCCATTTCCAGCACAAATCCAGGGTTTAACAAGAACGTCTGGGGGGGGGGTAAGGAAAAAACAAGGGGAAATAGGTTACCTTGCATAATGACTTAACCACTCCCAGTCTCTATTCAAGCCTAAGTTAATTGTATCCAATTTGCAAATGAATTCCAATTCCTGCAGCCACTCTGTGTGGACAGATCCCAAAACCATTGCAGAGCCCCATTGAAGTCATTGGGATTCTGTGTAGGTGCAAAGATCCACTTGCTTGAAGCATTTGCAGAGTTGGGACCTGGGATTGTAAACTCTTTAGAGAAGGCCCATGTCTTCATTTGTTTGTACAACACCTAGCACAGTGGGGCTCTGATTTTGATTGGGACCTTGAGTGCCATTATAATATAAATGTTAAATAATGTCTCTGTTCATGTCCGACTCTGGAAACTGAAGTGCTTTTTCCCACTTACTCTAAATGTGAATTAGTTTTACATCATCTATGTATTCAGAGATATGACTGAGTGTGTATATAGCATAAAATATAGATGCATGCTTTGTGTGTGTACATACATGTCTATAATGCTTATATATGTGTGTGTCTTTTGATTCATAAATATCAGGTCTTGTCAGTGAGTTTTAATGTTACCAGACTGCATGTTTCCTAATTTCAAGCATGCTTAAAACTTTCACCACGACTCCATTTCTTGTTTTCCTTTAAGGACCTTACTTACTTAGCCATGGTTACTTCTCACTTAAGCATCAGGATTGCAGCCCACATGTTCTTCACATTCGCAGTGTCTGCCATTTCCTGCTTCCTGCCAGTGCCCCATACCAGTTAAAGCAACCATCAGCCAGCCGCTCCCTGTAGTAATTTCACATACAAACTCTGTTTGGATTCAGCTCACTCAGACCTTGCAACAACCATAACAATCCATCCCTGTTCAACTACAAAAAACCCTTCTCCATTCTTCCCCAAGCAACCAACCCTATAGCCATATCCGATTTCAGACGCTCTCCTCACTTCCAACAGAACCCTCCACCAGCTTCACCCAATATCTACTACAAATCTATAGATATACCTAACAAATTGTCCTACCCTTCCAAAAACCACCCTAATTTCCACAGTTTCTGTTTCACCACCCCAGCTGTTCTTGCAGGAGAAGCCTAGAAATGGCCTTGTTAACCTAGGGGAGAAAAAAGACAGTTTTCCCTCCCTGGTGGAGCGGTACTATAGTGGCTTTTCTTCCTGTGGGAAGAGACCATCAGACTTTTCTCACTGTCCCCCACAACCTTTGTGGAAAGATGGTTGAATATTAAATTATTTTTGATTATTGAGCTAAAAAAGGTGTTTTTTTTCATTTCATTTCAGTTTATTTGTAGCCAAACAATTGATTTTTTTTCCCATTTTATTCCTCAAAAACCGTTTTTTAAAAATGTTTGGTGGAAATCTTTTCTATTTTTTTAAGTGGTGTTTAGCTGAAAAATCTATTTTTTTCCCATAGCCATTTTGCGAGAGGAGTCCCCTGGACCCTCTGTAGGCTTGGGGTACATGAGAAATGTAAGAGGCTGTACAGTTCCAGTCAGAGACTTTTGGCACAGTAAGAAATCCACCAAAAAGGTGAGAGGGCCACAGTTTGTGGGTTCACTGCCCATTGATGCAAGTGTCTGGATGGTTTCTGTGTTTGGATTTCCAAATTCCAGTGATATTGTATTTATTTTATTTAAAAATAATTTTGTAAAGTTTCACACACCCCTTTTTGAAAAAAAGGTTACCAATAAGGTATCTTATTAAGATTATATAAATTTTAAGGACTTTTGGTTATTTGATTACCATTCATATATAAGAGCCTATTGTTTTTCCACTGTTAAAAATAAATAAAATTGCTAGCATACAGCATAAGTTTACTGTATAATGCATCACTGTCAATCACTTAGACATTGTGTCATGCTGTCCTGTTAATACACTTCATTGTTCTTCATAGTCATTTGGAGTTTTGCTTAAGAGAAAGGAATGTGAAACTGTCAATTTTTTTATTTTAAACACCTTTAAATTAACATGTACTTACTGTAATAAAATGGAATTGGGCACAGGGGCCTATTCAAATTAGAATGATAGTATAATATTCATGCCAGTAAGGTGGTACAGGCTATTAAAAGAAAATTTCGCACACAGTAAACTTTTTGGTAATAGACCTGCCACTGAATGGTGACTATAAAGAGCACTTTCAGAACTGGAATGTTAGTATAAACATAATTTATTATTAATTGTATTTATTTATACATATACTGGTTTTATAGTGTGAACCACACAGTTCACTTCCCCTGTTGTAAATTTCTCTCATTTTCAGCTTAATATATTTTTTCATTAATGGCTGAATAAAATCTGTGTTTTCTGAGGACCATTGCTATAAATTTGGCAACATTGTTTGGATGAAGTCTTCAAAAAGGTTGCCTGAAGAGTATATTGCAGTTGGCTAGTTTGTTGATGAATGTTATAGGAAAACAATTAGAAATGCTTCTGCAGTTAGTTGTCTCAAAATTTGGTATTCCTTGTTTCACTGACTTGTTTGAATGTAACTTAAGGTCTGAATCCTTTGTGATACTGATCACTCTCCATTCTCATTGACCTCAGTGGGAACAGTCAGCACCCCATAGGCAATGACCTGTACACAGCCTAGTGGTGACTAGCGTGTGTGGGAAGAGGCTGAGGTGGATGTTAAGGAAATGGACTTGTTTCAAGTTTCTCCTCATCTTCCTTGTTTGGAGAAATACTGTATAAAAGTACTTATAAGATTCATACCATCTTACCAGAAAGTGTTCTCTGCTAAAATAATGTATTTTCAAAGGTCAAGAGCAAATTGGAAAAATGTAGAGCTACAATTTAAAGGCTTGTTAATTGAGATACTGAAAATGTCTTTTATGCAGTGTAAGGTCCACTTGTTTATTTTTACAAAAGAATCTTAAAAGATTTTGTAGGCTGTTTTTAAAAAATTCTTATAAGCAACAGCACATTGTAATTCGTGTTCTGACTGTGGGGCGTGTGGGTGGGGTGTGTGTGTGTGAAGGACCATTTGTTAGATACTGTTTTGTTGCTACAGCAGCCTAGAGGAACTTCAAAGGATAAATTAACAAACAGATGGCTTTAACACACTTCCTTGACAGCGTGCACTCCTCAGCGTTTAAGCTGCCACAACACACCCTGAGGTGACACCAGCGTTACATATTGATCTTTTGGTGAAAGATAATTTGCTTTTTCTGTTCTACACTGTAGGATGTAGCGTAATTATTCATAAAAGGGTTAGACTCTTGTGAAATATTTGCAACTGAAACTTTTGTCTAAAAATAATGTGGAATTTGTACATTTGCACTATGGATTTACACTGCTTGTGCTCAGTCTTAAGGTGCATTTCTTTATATTTCCTACTTTAGGAAATGGATTTATTAACTCTCGAGCATCACCAAGCCTGCTAGGAACCACTGGTGGTGGGAATGGATTGGGCAAAGTTATGCCTACAAAGTCTCCGCCTCCACCCGGAGGAGGTAATCTTGGAATGAACAATCGCAAACCAGACCTTCGTGTTGTCATCCCACCTTCCAGCAAGGGCATGATGCCTCCATTGGTAAGTTGGGCCATTCATTCTATAGTATACTATATACAGTATGCCCAAGGGGTGAAAAAAGAGTGCTGCTGAAAGCAAAACTATAATATGTGTTAATTTGCACTCACACAAATGATCTCATGTAGCACCCTAGGCATTATGGAGATGGCACCTTAGAAACACCCCTATCGTAGGAGACTTGACTGATAAAAGAACACAACTCAAGTGCAGATTGCCATCTTGGACAGTATTAGCAAAAAAAAGTGGGAGAAGATATTCTTACTCACGTTGGATTAATAAATACAGAATAATGAGCTGATCTACATTGGGTTATTTACATTGCCATATTGAAGACTTTGGTTTGGTTTCTTGTCCTGATTGCAATCTTCCTGGGTTGCTAGGACTGAGGGTTTTAGTGGTTTGGTTTCTATTGGGCGAGGGAAGAGTTTATTGTACCACTCAGCAAGGGCAACTTTTGCTGATTATTGAGCTGTGTTGGGGTGCCTCGATGTCAAGTTCTGTCCGGTTCTCCCAGGTTGCAGTATTGGTGAGTTGTGAGGTTTCTCAGAAAAAATGATTATGAGGGAGGAACCTTCATTTGGTTTGGTGTGTTAGTACAATAGCCATTCACTCCCCATATTTGGAGTTAAAATCTTGAACGAGGACACAAGGAAGAATGAATGGTGGTCTAATCATTTGTACATCTCACAAAACAACTGTGCATTTCAGCACATCAGCAATGTTTGTTCATCCTACCTCTAGATATAGCAGAGGGTTTTGCAGGTCAGACCTGAGGTTGGAAGAGAGCTTCTACTTCAACCTTGTGTGGCTGAAGTCATTGATATTAGTCTCTATCTTTTTATGTGCAAACTCATAAGCATTTAAGTACATCTATTCAGTTTATGAATCCTCCCCTATATGGAAGTAGCCAAAAGGAGCATAGGATGTAAACAGTATAAGCATTCTTTATACAATATTTACTTATTTATTTTTAAGATTCCACAAATGTTGACATTTGCTATTGATGGTAGAGCTAAATCACACAAAATCAATGTAAGTAGCCAGAGTCCTAATTAAAGAAGTTCTTTAACACCTTTATTAAAATGTTTGAGGTTTTTCTAAAAATGTACAAATTATAGAGCACATTCATGAAGAAATATATTGCTATTTCTTAATGTGAAACTTGTGCTTTAAATTATTTTGAAAAATAAATACAGGGGGAAATATTTTAAAAAGCAATTTTAATGTTCTCTCCTTAAATTATCACTCTCTGTCTGGTGGAGAGGGGAGAGAAGTAAAGAATAGAGATGCACAGATGTCATGGTGATTGGTGGACTAAAAATACATGCCTCTGCAGTTGACTTTCATCTGATCAGTTCAACCATAATAGAACCAATGTGCACCTGTGTCCATATATGATGTCTGTGAATACTTGTGCCCTTGCTAGTTCAGCCAATGCTAATTTTCAGATCATCTGTAAACAACCTTTTGTTGTTGTGAACACAACTTTTGCCACAGTATTTATTCCTGCATCAAAACATTTTTATTAATTGACCGAATGTGTATATAGTAAGTATATAATCACATACTTTGTAACTTTGTTTACATAATAGCATGATAAATTCAAAATATTAACAAACCAATAAATAAATCCTGAAGCACAAACATGATTTATTTTATTTTTGAAAGCAATGCTTTTCTGAGTAACTTTATTATCCCTCTTGTTTGCTGAATACAGTCGGAGGAGGATGAATTGGAGTTGGTGAGTTTGGGTTCCTGCTTGATGAGTGAAGAAAGCTTAAGCCATACGACATGGTCTCAGTTATACCAATGTTCCCTTTGTGGCAGAGAAATGTACTTGTTTTATCCAAATAAAAAAACCCACAAAAATTGCGGAGTGCAAATACAGCCAAAGTCTAGCATTCTCCATTTGTAAATTTATGTTTTTATGAAACAGTTTTTTCGTTTTTCTTAGAGGGAACATTGGAACAGAGCCTTACTCAGTAACTGTCCATGCACACAGAGTACTTGTTCTGATGGGGTAGAGTGTTAAATGCCTTATATAGTCCCCAAAATTATTGAAATATTTTTAGAAAATTACTTCACTCCTGAAGTTCCTCAAATTGTAACACAAGCTGTGTGTTACTTCTCCTTCTTTCACGGAGATTATTACATCATTGCTAGTGAGGTCACCTTTTTACAGAGTTGGATTTATTTCATGCTTTATGAGATGATCAAACCACAAAGGGGGGTTCCCTGTTTACCACAAGGAATATGGAATTGCAAACTAATTATTTTACCTTTTTCAACTGGAAAGATGTTCTGTATTTGAAAGGAAATTGCTGTTTTTCAGAAAACATGATATCTTTCGATGTTCACTGTGGAAAATAAATATAAGACTAAAAATAGGTTGACTCATGAGAGTTCTAGATTATTTTTCCCAGCAATATGCAAATGTTTTAGGTGTTATAGCACAACAGTAATTGCAGAAAAATGCTGCATCAGAGTACAATTGTAGATCAGCTTCAAGATATTTATACACCTATGCTTTGATTTATTTGCACATGGACTTGTTGCTAATATGAGGCTCTAATTGCATGAAAGCATGAAAATTTCAGTAGTTTCTTTATATTTTAAGTTGGTGAATGCATGCTATTGGATGATATTTTACCTATATTGTTTTCCTAAATTTGAGCGAATTGGAAAAAATTACTTTTGAAAATTAATACTTGAAGCTATCCAAAAATGGTGGTGGTTACAGGAAGAGTTTAAATGTTATTCTAATTAACAGCTATTTCATTTGTTCATTTTTTTCTCAGTGTTGTAGAAAAGCATCTGTTTTTCAATACAAAGAAATATGGGATTTAATTTAATCCATAAAATAGTTAACCAGGTCATTATGTACATATCAGTGATTGTAAGGCTTACTCAAAATCACTTTCGTTATAGACGTGTTTATGTTCTTTAACTGTCAAAATTGCCATGTTCTTCTAATATAAATTGTTTGGAATCTAGATATAGTACTTTGGAATATGAATAATGTAGGATGAGCTTGCCCTCTAGTGGTTATAAAAATGCAATGTGCCTATATAAACCTACTCAATGGACTGAAAAAAGCAAAATCTTTCTCAAACAAGACACTTTAAATTAGCAAATAAAGCACCCTGGGAATGCTATTTTATTCATTATATGGATTAATATGTGTTCTGAAATACAGTTTCATATCCTAGCAGTAAACATTAAATTCTACATGACCAGAATTGAACAGATTTACTAGATGGAAGGCAGAAGGGGTTGAGACCCTAGTTTATAGACTAATATAAATATATCACTCTCCTTCCATTATCTTGATCAAATTATCCCCATCAAAAAATAAGGTTCTGAAAATTTTTATGACTGTCTGTAAACCTTGGAATCCATAACTCAGACAAAAAGTAAAATTTGTCAGCCATCTTATATTTCCAAATCACACATCCAAACCAAGTGTCCAGGTATAAATTGCCTCTGAAAATAGCCCCAAATACCCCCCCCTCCCGATTCCCCGGGGATATCCTTGGAACCTGTGTAGTTTCCTAGTAGATGTCTCTAACTTTTCCATTATGTAGTAGTCCCAACTTTACAGGCTGTTATCCAAGAAACCTCTGGGAAAAGGCCTATTTCCTAAAGACACAGAAATCTGGTCTAATAACATATCTTCATAAAAGATAAACCCAGTCTCTCACTGTAACACAGTGGGATTTTCAAAACGTAAGCGATTTACAAACACAAATCTCAGTGAAAATAAATGGGTTTTCCCTCAGGTCACTTAAGTGCTTTTGAAAATTCCACCCTGAACCTACAGTATGCCCCTGCTTAACACAGACACCAACATAATCTCTAGAGTAGTAGTTACTAGACTCTTAATCAAGTTCTCTATAAGATTCAGACAAAATAGGCATTCTTGGAGAGAAGTCTAGCTTTGCACAATATAAAATATTCCTCGTACATCAATTAAACTTATTTGAACAAAGTTATTCCTACAATCAATGGAGGAAGAAAAGATTTTTGGAACAGGAGACAAGTTTGATCCTTCTTACTGGGCTGGCAAAATGCTATGCCAGCAATGATTTCATACATTGAGTATCCACTATTATATAACCTATACATTCAGTCTCCAGCATCACTACGAATGGTATAATTTCATCTTTGAATGCCACCTTTTCTTTATCTTTTTAACATCGCACTAGAACCCCTGAGTTTGATCAGATACTGTAAATTCTGAAGCGTTAACATAACCACTTGGACTCTAAGCTTTCCCTGTCTTTTTGTGCTTAAAGTAGTAGAAGAATACAGTACATTTAAAATGGTAGCTATCGCATTCCTTGTACTCTTTTTAAACTGTCAAGCTACAATTACCAGACTGGTAGGCCTCAGATCAGCCCTCATGGTTTTGATTTGCAGAGTTGCATAAACACAAGCACTGCCTGTATGTTCCATTCTTGTGAGAACAAAAATCATGTGTATTTCTATAAGGTGTGTTCTCTGGTTTCTTCTCCACTCTGTTCTTGAGAGAAGCAGGGATAGTGAAATACCAATATGCCACCCTTGATCAGAAGAAAACAAAGAGGGGGTGGTGGTTTTGTTGTTGGCGGGTGCTTCAGCTAAGAAGTTGTGAAGCTGCTGTTTTGGGAGCAAATAAATATATATAATTTTTAAGTCTGGGAGTATTACTTTACTTTTCTTTTTAAAAAAGCTAAAACTTAGGTCTGTTAATCTTAAACATTCCATTTAAAATTGGGTACCAGATGGCAAGGAGAATGATGTTCAAATTCCTTAGGAAAAGTTAGGAATAAATCTTCTTTTAAAAGAAAAACAACAACATGGCCTATTCCTGTCACATCCAGTCTGTGTTGACTTGGCTGTTTTGAAAAAAATTAAGGCTTCCTTGGTAAAGAATACGGCATGCCAGTGATGGAGTGGCCTTGTTTTCTAAAAGGCATCCATCACAATGTTTAAGTAAAGTCTTTTGTAGCAAATGTTTAGTAGAATCATAGAATATCAGGGTTTGAAGGGACCTCAGGAGGTCATCTGGTCCAACCGCCTGCTCAAAGCAGGACCGATCCCCAATTAAATCATCCCAGCCAGGGCTTTGTCAAGCCTGACCTTAAAAACTTCTAAGGAAGGAGATTCCACCACCTCCCTAGGTAACACATTCCAGTGTTTCACCACCCTCCTAGTGAAAAAGTTTTTCCTAATATCCAACCTAAATCTCCCCCACTGCAACTTGAGACCATTACTCCTTGTTCTGTCATCTGCTACCACTGAGAACAATCTAGAGCCATCCTCTTTGGAACCCCCTTTCAGGTAGTTGAAAGCAGCTATCAAATCCCCCCTCATTCTTCTCTTCCGTAGACTAAACATCCCCAGTTCCCTCAGCCTCTTCTCATAACTCATGTGTTCCAGTCCCCTAATCATTTTTGTTGCCCTCCGCTGGACTCTTTCCAATTTTTCCACATCCTTCTTGTAGTGTGGGGCCCAAAACTGGACACAGTACTCCAGATGAGGCCTCACCAGTGTCTAATAGAGGGGAACGATCACGTCCCTCGATCTGCTGGCAATGCCCCTACTTATAAATCCCAAAATGCCATTGGCCTTCTTGCCAACAAGGGCACACTGTTGACTCATATCCAACTTCTCGTCCACTGTAACCCCTCAGTCCTTTTCTGCAGAACTGCTGCCTATCCATTCGGTCCCTAGTCTGTAGTGGTGCATGGGATTCTTCCGTCCTAAGTGCAGGACTCTGCACTTGTCCTTGTTGAATCTCAACAGATTTCTTTTGGCCCAATCCTCCAATTTGTCTAGGTCCCTCTGTATCCTATCCCTACCCTCCAGCATATGTACCTCTCCTCCCAGTTTAGTGTCATCTGCAAACTTGCTGAGGGTGTAATCCACACCATCCTCCAGATCATTTATGAAGATATTGAACAAAACCGGCCCGAGGACCGACACTTGGGGCACTCCACTTGATACCGGCTGCCAACTAGACATGGAGCCATTGATCACTACCCGTTGAGCCCGACAATCTAGCCAGCTTTCTATCCACCTTATAGTCCATTCATCCAGCCCATACTACTTTAACTTGCTGGCAAGAATACTGTGGGAGACGGTGTCAAAAGCTTTGCTAAAGTCAAGGAACAAGGAATGTCCACTGCTTTCCCTTCATCCACAGAACCAGTTATCTCGTCTTAGAAGGCAATTAGATTAGTCAGGCATGACTTGCCCTTGGTGAATCCATGCTGACTATTCCTGATCACTTTCCTCTCCTCTAAGTGCTTCAGAATGGATTCCTTGAGGACCTGCTCCATGATTTTTCCAGGGACTGAGGTGAGGCTGTAGTTCCCAGGATCCTCCTTCTTCCCTTTTTTAAAGATGGGCACTACATTAGCCTTTTTCCAGTCGTCCGGGGCTTCCCCTGATCGCCATGAGTTTTCAAAGATAATGGCCAATGGCTCTGCAATCACATCCGCCAACTCCTTTAGCACTCTCGGATGCAACGCATCCGGCCCCATGGACTTGTGCACATCCAGCTTTTCTAAATAGTCCCGAACCGCTTCTTTCTCCACAGCGGGCTGGTCACCTCCTCCCCATGCTGTGCTGCCCAGTGCAGTAGTCTGGGAGCTGACCTTGTTCGTGAAGACAGAGGCAAAAAAAGCATTGAGTACATTAGCTTTTTCCACATCCTCTGTCACTAGGTTGCCTCCCTCATTCTGTCAGGGGCCCACACTTTCCTTGACTTTCTTCTTGTTGCTAACATACCTGAAGAAACCCTTCTTGTTACTCTTAACATCTCTTGCTAGCTGCAACTCCAGGTGTGATTTGGCCTTCCTGATTTCACTCCTGCATGCCCGCGCAAATTGTTTTTAACTGCCTAATCCAAATTAGATGTTCATCACCAATTTTAGCTCAAGACTGTGGCACATAGAGTATTATTAAGATGGCCATAGGAGTTATTCACCTACAAATGGCAGGATAGTCAGAGCTTTCTACAGTTTTGAGCTTAACTAATTTTCATATCAGAAGGCACAACCATTTTTTGTTAATGCAAAAGGCACGTGCTTTGAAATATATGTGCAGTCTAATGAGTAAACGTTCAGTTCCCACAACCAGGGCAAGGAACCACAATATTATTCTACCACTAAGGTCTTGGCAACATTGAAGAGTTAAGGGAACTCTCCCACTGTTGCTTTTAGGACAGGTGCAACCTTACCTGTGCAAGCAACAGTGGGAGCTCTAGGGGTAAATCTTCAAAAGCGCCTGAAAGTCCCATTTTCAAATGTGGGTTAGGCACTTAGTAGTCAACCAAAAGTCAGTGGGACTAAGTGTAAGTCTCTTTTGAAAATGTGACTTACCCTCCTAGATCACTCCAGGCAGGGGCTTTTGAAAACTGTATACTCTAAAGGAGTGCATTTTCCTCTAAGCGCTGTCACATTATTCAGATTGACATTAATGAAAGCTGCCTGCACAACAAGAGAATATATCCATAAGTCTAATGTATTAATTATATCTCCTTTAAATTAGTCTAAAACAAAATTAGTTTTTGGCCCTTTAAATGTTTTGTAGAAAAAACTCCACAATCATGAAAAAAGGAGATACTGTTCTTATCCCCAAAATAATGTGAAAAGGGATATGTCATTGCTTTTACATTAACACATTCTATTCATTGTTGTAATTGACTTCCACAAGGCATGTTTTTTTTGTGTTTAATCATTTACAGAATACCCAAAGGATAAGCAGTTCTCAGTCTACACAGCCTCTTGCTACCCCTGTGGTGTCTGTGACAACTCCAAGCTTGCCTCCACAGGGACTTGTGTATTCAGCCATGCCTACAGCCTACAACACTGGTAAGTGTCATTTTTTTCTTTTTAATTTACCATTTACCTGCTAGGTACAGCTAAGGCTTTCATGATTCTGAATTCCAGAAGGTTTACATGTTTAAGACACTTTATCTTACTTGAATATTTAATTTAAGTTAGGGCTCTTTCTTACTAGTTGAAAATTAGCCTTTAGTTTGTGAGAAGTGTTACTAATACAGAAACATACATCAGAAAGCAGGTTTTGGAAGAAAACTTTGGTAGTTGGATGTCAGTTGTACATGATGGAACACAGCAAGAGACTGAAATGAAATGTGGTGTGTTTTCTATGTCAGTAGTGCCTGACCTGTTCAGTCTAAGGGCTGAAATATTATTTCCAAAACGTCAACAGGCAACAATCAATACTTTAGAGCATAGTGTCAATTCTGTTCAATTTCCTCTGCTCCTTTCAGGCCATGTACATGGACTAGAAACTACCTGATCATCTTGTGAGCCCAGATATCTACACTGCTATTAAGAAGCACCATGAGCCCCAGGGCTACAGTTTAGAGCCTTGAGGGCCACAGATTGGACACCCCTAGTCTGTAGTGTCTGGCCCATGTTGTATTACCTTTGATACTCATGGAGAAACTACATTGCACGTAGAATAAGTTTTATGTGGATCCAACTTAAAATAATCTAAGAGAGCTTTTAGTATTTTTAGGTTCCTTAGTTAAAACAAATAGAAGGGAAATAAAACCCTACTTTACTTAATCTCACTAGCTAAGATGTAGTGTGCAGTACTGAAGTTTGGTTGATTAGTCTAATTTCAAAACTTAATGAATTTTGAAATATGGAACATTGCTAATCTCTAGTTATTAATTGTCTTGCAATACAAAGCTTTCATATTTTAAAACAAAACATCACCTCTAGTCTTTTTGCTTGCAGAGAGAGTCCTTTATATAACCCGGTTGCTAGAGTGGCTTGTCAGTGGGAGGAGGAGAAAAAGAGGAATTTTCTAACAGATTTGAGAGGCTACTGAGGCTTCTATAGCTTGGGCAGGTTCTTCCCTCTGTCCTGTGGACCCACTGAGGTCTTCTGTAGGGGAAATTCCCCATTGGCCTCCTGACATTCCTACAGACCTCCTGATGTCTATACAAAGGTAGCCGCTCGCTAGCAGACTTTAGGAGATGTCCTGGGGATGGGGAAAGAAAGTCAGAGAGAGCAGGGAACTCATCAGGAAGAAATCAGGGGACATTTCCCCTTTCTTGTGGACCTACTGAGACCTTCAAGAAGGGAGAGCCGCTCAGAGAGCCTTAGGAAGTTCATCACACCCATCACATGCCTTAAGTGGTGTATTGAATGCATCCACCTAATTTCCAAACCACAGGTTAATCAGGGGCCATCTCACCCTAACTGCCTCCTGAGCCTTAGAAGACTTATCCACGGACACCCTTAGCACTGTTCCTGGTTAGCCAACCTGAGGATCGCTGGGGCACATAATTATCTCTGAGCCTCAGAATTCTAGTTGGGTTTTAACCTCTGACCCACCGGTAGGCCTACTAGTCCCTAGAAATCCAGTTAATTAATTTATTACTTACATTATAACATCCAGATACCTCAGTTAAGATTAAAATCCCATTGTATTGGCTACCGTACAAATAAGAGGCAGACGCTCTTGTATTTATTTAATGTAATGAATGGGCCTATGTAGTCAGACTATTGATATAAGACTTTCACTGTATGACTCTAAACAGTTGAACGTGATTTGGGGTTTGTGAATACAGAGAGCTCAGTTTGCTTTGTCACCCTGGCAAATGCACTGTAAAATTCATGCCAAAGTCTAAGCCGTTAATTGAAGTAAAGAACAGAAAAAGAATAACCCAAAGCAAAGCATGAAAAGTTTTAAAGTAAAAAAAAAAAAAAAATTGAACTACTGTTTAAATAAGACGTCTTTTTTTAGAGAGTGGTTATTAGTACCTTGTTTTATTAAACAGTTCTTGGGAGAAAGGAAAGATTAGTTTTGTTGCCAGACCTGTACGTTAGCTGTTGGAGTCTTTATAGACAGGCAAAAGAGGGAGGAAAGAATGAGAGCAATAAAAAAAGGGGGGGGGCAGGAGGGAGGGAAATACAACTTTTTATTGAGCGTGTGTGTGTGTGTGTGCATTGATCAATCACAAATGGCACTCTGGGCAGGTGGAATGGCTGCAAGAAGTGCATTTCTGAGCTCTGAATTCTGTCCCCGAACTGGGATTCCATCTGGCTAGTTTTAGCTGGTCCCTTCCTTTCCACCAACCCTTCTCAGTCTGGACAGGACTGGGCAGGCTGCCTTATCCCATTGTGTTGGTGCTGATGATCTTAGAATCGCGTCAGAAGCCAAGAGAATGGTAGGACAGGAGGAAGATAGTTGGGGGAACAGAAAGCAGTGTACAAGGAAAGGGAAAGGTAGAATAGGGGTCTTGTATGTATTAATCTGGGATTTGTGCTACTCCAGCATAGATGATCCAGTGTCCTAACTAGTGGTTTGAGGTCTGGAGATCTCTGAGTTCCCTTGAGGTTTACGAATAAAGGATGGAACTTCTGGAGCAAAGCAAAGGCCTTTCAGCCTTTCCTAAGGAAACCCTCGGGAGTCCATGTTCCCCAAATCCATGTTTTAAAAGAGTCCCAAAAGGTGTCATGGTTGGAATAGGTCATTCCTTCATTATTACTCTTCCGACTAAGTCTAAATTTTGACACAGTTTTGGCCATTGTTTTTTTGGTTTTTAAATCCCCTTGTTTGCAAATTACAACTTCAGCACAGTCCTTGAGTTGTGTTAGTAGCCCGCTTCTGTCTATATAAATGCAGCTGTTGTCTTTTTTTCCACAGCCTTTTTCTGTTAACATAGTTGATGCTCAGGGTTCATACAGATGACACAACAAAACAATCCCTGCTTTGAAGTGCTTAGTTTGTTTTGGCTCACTCAGGAGTTGTAACTTGAAAGTGACTCTGTTTTTGTTAATATTAGTAGTAGTACATATTTATATTATGGCAGTGTCTTAAAGGTTCTAAGCACTGTACAAACAGAGAGAGACAATCCCTGCCCTGAAGGCCTTAACAATTTAAAGATATATACAAAGAATAGAGGATGGGGATGAAACATACAGTCAAATGAGTATGGTAAAGAATTGGAACTGCTTTGTTTGATATATCTCTTGTGTTATGTGGCTTGTTGTAGTAATATAATCTTAACTCTGAATTTGCTGGTTTTGTAATGTTGTTAACGTGCATATATTTGAAAAGTAGTATGCAGTCAAACCAATATCATCATGTGCTTACAACCTGAACTTCACCTTAGTTTTCTTGTGTGGGATATATAACTGTTTGATGTGAAATGGGTATAATATTTCTGAGGGGAAGAAAAAGATGGTTATCTGATAGATGTGGTACTTGTACCATCTGTAACTTATTTCTAACTGGAATATTTTGTTCTTAAACCTTAAACTGGTATAATCTTGCTGGATGTGAATGTTGCATGCAGATAGTATCTCAAGCTATCAGTTCCTCAGAAGATCAGTTAGAGACATATGGTAGCCACACTTGAACAGAGCAAACATATCTCACAAATACAGAAATTCTATTCTTGTCCTCTGTGACAATTGCTACAAAAAGACCTAAGCTTTCAAGGAACCTCATGTTCTATAGTAAAACTTCCTGATACATTCTCTGTATCAGCATAGCTTTTCCATATCACATCAGACCATTGGTTTATAAAACTAGGCTTCCTGCCTTTAGCAATAGCAGATATCTGACTGTTTAGGCACGGTAAATAAAATCACAGTGCACCTACCTAAATGTTCAGTTATATACATGGTGGAGGGAACAGAGTTCTTTTCTGACCCTTGTCCTAAATCACCTTATGACTGAAGCATAAGGTGTTACTATCCATTATCATAAATACTGTTTCTTTGCAATTTCAGTTTATTTTCCTACAAGCATTCATCCCAGACTCTGATGTTAAAGAAATCCCTCTGGGGATCCATGATGCAGAGCAGCACACCCATCTCAGACATTTGCTTTTAGTCCAGTCACAGCTTGTTAGAGGTCTAACTTCTTTGAGTTTTATTGAGTGCAAATATATCTTGCTGACTGGAGATTGACTTCAATGGATAAGAGGAATAAAGCTGTCAAAAAAAAGAGATCCTCTTTACCCTTGTAAGAGGACTCTGGATTTATCAGTATGTGAAAAATGCTCCAGAAATTGACAGTCTTAGCAATGCATACAGATTTCAGTGCTAATGAAGCGCCTTGTAGAGTCATTGTGATGAAAAACTGGCAATTAAGAAAAAAGAAAAGCACAAATAGCTGTTTAGTTTGTTCAGCTACCAAACTATCTTCTCCTGTACCTCATAGAAGGATCTCTTCACAACAGTCTCCCTGGCTCTGCATGTTGAGAGTTGGCATTGAAGTGAATCACAGCTTGAGCAAACCTCCTTTTATACAGCAGGGCTAGGGTTATGACCTTTTTAAAGGTGTTTAAAAAATGTAATCCAACTAGGGATATGCTTCTTTGTAAACCAACAGAAGGGCCCTGTTTCTGAGACCTTAAAACCACAGGCCTAATGTCATGGCTATACAGAAATGCCCCCTCAGAAGGCTACAGCTTAAAATCTTGAGAAGAGGTGTATCTCCCTCCCCTTCCAAGCTCATCAGCTGCATTGAGATCCTGTTGGTTGGTCAGTATGCCTTCATCTCTGGTAACTCCCCAGCCAGCACTAGGCTTTCACTACAGTCATGTAGGGCATGCTGTGTTTAAGATTTCTACTGTGTGAAACACTGAAACTCTTGACTCATGTAGCACATTATTCTTCACCTAGCAGTACCTCTGAGCATGTACAAATTGCATCAATTCCAGTGCAACAGACTGGAAATCTAACACAAGATTAATATAAATATGAATTCGTTTAAATCAGGAAGTACTTGAAGATGGTCAGTGCACATTTTTCTAGACTCCAGACGCTGCTTTCAGATTTGGACCTCTTGCATTTAGTGATGCTTCTGGGTGTGAAGGAGAAAGTTGTTGAGAAAGAAGTTTCAGAGGTCTGAAGAGATTGTAATGTCCTTTGGGGACATGGATGGGACAGAAGGTGATGGCTCTCCTCCTTACCTTTTAGATACAGGATGGAGTTAAACCTGTTTCTTTCTCTGAAGAGACATAGGGACAGAGGGTCATATTCACAGTGTGTTCCACAGTTTATGCAGCTGGACAATCCTTAAAAATTGGTGTCTTCACAATTCAGCCCCTAAGATCATGGCTGCAGATCAAGTCTAACTTCCGGCTACAGACAGAACTTAGAAATCAGTCTGTCTGCAAAAGAGCTATTTCTAGTTAGTTAACTTGGATTTCTTGTTACTTTTGTTGAGCAGTATTATACCTTGAGAGTATGTCCAGACTCATACAGTTGGAACTTTGGCAGCAATGGTAGCTGAAATTTCACAATGCCTCAGAAGATGAGATTTTCAAAGCTACAGCATGGAATACCTCCATATTTCACAGAACATTAATGTAACAATAGTATCGTGGAAGATAGCTATTACATGTTTAAATCTGTATCTCATTTTGTCCAATATAGGACCCACAATAATAAAATCCAACCTTCTTTTCCTTTATCTGTATGTAAATAGCAATCTAATACCCCACTGAAGGGAACGGTATAAGGACCTGCACAGACAAGCATACTCTTTCACCACCAGTTGGGTATTAATCATATATAGCTATAAATCCAATACAGAATGTCTCTAGAATTTACCATCAGAAAAGTACTACTTCTAAGCTTTTCTGAATGTCGTCATGTTTGTAGATGACAACATTTGGGAGTACTTTTACTCTATAAGGGATACTCAGGCCTGGATTTAAAAGAGACAAATTGTATTATGAGTGTGTGATTTACACTGTATATGCCTTGGAAGATGTATCAGCTGTTGCACTCTGAAGGGACAGGTTTCTGACAGAATGTTAATGCAGGCTCTAGAGTAAAAATCCGTAGTCCACTTGATCTACAAATCATAGTAACAGGGCTAGCTGCTCCTCTGACCCATTTTCTGGCCTTTCTGAGTGCACCCCTTAGGTAGGAGGTCTTGTGCCTTTAACTCCCTAGGGTGGAGTCACATGATTCTCCCACTTTTAGAGCACGTCCTGGGCTATAGCATGCAGTGGATCAACTTTTTACACCCAAACAGGTCTGACTGGGTTCGGGTACCTACAGAAGCTGTGACTAGCACTGAATACTGTGACCCTTAACAGTAGGAACTAAGCCTAATAAGAGAAAAGGGTTTTAAAACAATAAAAAGTCTACATGCATGTCTGTCTAACCATCTTCATGGGGAGGGACCCCAATAAGTCTAATTTCCCCCAATCTCTGGACCATGGGTTCACCTTTGTTCTCATTCTCTGGTTGGGGGACTTAGCAGGGATCGGGAGTAGCAACTAAAATCAATAGCCCTTGGTGTTTGGTGAGAGGCTGTTATCTGGGCTATTGTCTACATGCATGCTATTGTATGCATGTAGACAGACTCTTATTGAATTAATTCAGTACATGCATACAACAGTCAGGCAAACAGAACCTACAGTATTCATAAATTATTACAGAGCAACTCCAAATCAGTCACACTAGACTCTGTAGTCCTAGAAAATATCTCATGAGAAATTGAACTATAGATAGTAACCGACTGTCATTTCAGACAGGTGTAAATGTATAAATCTGATTTGTATGTCTCCAAAAAGATCCTGCTTAAGTAAATTGTTAGTTAATCTCTGGTGGCAATGCAAAGTAACTTTTTTCTTCCTGGCATTTTGTCTCATTCACAAGGGACCAGAAATTATATTAAAGAAGTTGTATTGCAAAGTGATTAAGAGCAGAGAAACGTTTTCAGCTTTCTCTTTTAAAACCTGAAAGGAAAGCATAAGTGATAATGATGAACTGAAAATAACTTCCTGTGTGTGAATGAGCAGTGAGAACTATCTAAGCATCATATCCTGGCAAAAAAAAAAAAAAAAATCCAATAATTGAATTGTTGATTACAACTGTACAGTGTTCCTCTCAATCAGCATATCAAAACTATATCCAAGTGCATGACACATTCTTGCTATATATAAAAAGAATACTTTAGTTTTTAGGCTCTGACTAAGTCATCAGTTATATACCACATGAATATAAGAACGAAACTGAATTATGGTGGAAAAAGAGTTTGATCGGTTATAGACTGTCAGTGATGCTTTTAGAGCTTTAAATATGTCTTGCAAATATTTCCTTATGCCATAGGAGATGAATGTTGTGATTTGGGATTTTTTTTTTTTGGTTTGTTTTTTGCTGAACTAATTTAAAAAAGAAAAAAAGGCTTTTACGTCCTCACCATCACTATGATGATGGCAGGTGAGTACATTTTTTCCCTTAGATGGTACATTTTCATAGCAGTTTGTAAAGTAGCTATAGTTACAGGATTTTATTATTTTCTGGACCAGCATCCACTTGACCCAGGAGAAGTGGACAGGCCCCCAGAAAGATAGTACTAGGTTCCCTGATGATCTGTTTTGCACAACTCCTGCTCCAGTATAGGTTAGAGCATCATAAAGACTGCTCTGACTTATGCTAGCATGCATTGATCTCCAGGAGACACTTTACCAGTTTAGCATTGCTAGAACACAATAGTGATCCAGCCATGCCCCCACAGCCGTGGCAGAAGACAATGTGGCACAGGAGCTGGTTATACCAGTTGGGATGTCGCCTCTCTTGGACGAATTTTCAGATGGTCATATACTGAGCAGAGTAGAGGGGCTGGATCGGAGGAAAGAATCTGGCTCTCCTACTGTGTCGAGGGTTGAACCCAAGATGGGTTTTCTCTTATGCCAGATTTATTATATTAAATTATTTCAGTTGGTTTAGTGGCCTGTCTTAATGCCCACTTTTTTTTTATTTTATTTTGAAGTTCCCGGACAGAGCAAAATATTCAGAAATGTACACGATAAAACCAGCACAGTAATGAACATTTTCTTTTATATGCACAGGAGAAGACCTGCTGGATGAAGTACATGTATTGTCATATTTATTGGTGTAAATGAACCCAAATCAAGCAATAGCAACTAGGAGTTGGAAGCAGGGTTGAGAAGAGAGAGCATTCTGAGGCCATGATCCTGCAAAGGGATCTGCGCGAGCAGACCTTTATGATGTCAGTGGGAGTCCACACAAGTGAAAGGGTCTGCCCTTTTGGATTCTTTTGCATAGTCCGCCTGTAGCTGATTTGAACAGGAAGCTAAAACTTTGATTCTTATAACTGAACACAGTATAAACTATTTTTCTTGCTTCTTTTTCAGATTACTCCTTGACTAGTGCAGACCTGTCTGCCCTGCAGGGCTTTAACTCCCCAGGAATGCTGTCTTTAGGACAGGTATCTGCCTGGCAACAGCACCATCTAGGGCAAGCAGCCCTCAGCTCTCTTGTGTAAGTGGATCTGTAATGTTAATTTACCACACCCGACTGGGAACATCTGCTACTTTGATTATAAATGAATAATCCTGCATTTGACACTGTTCAATAGGACTCTACTTTAATTTCTCCTTCAGTGCACATGTATGTGGATTCTTCACATGTTTGCCAGTCAGCTCACTGGTTGTGAAATTACTGTAGTTATTTAAAAAAAAAAAATAGGGGGGAGAGGGGAGGACAGGGGACTTGCCTTACAATTTGTCTGTTGAGTATGTAGCACACTATTGGTTCTGTGTAAGTAATAATGCTGACAAACATCACCACTCTGCAGACATTTCCAAAAAGATACCTACCTGAAAGCTTGACACAGATTTCAAAAAATTAAACATTTCTATTTGTCTTAATTCCTTTAAAAACAAGTAAAATATGTAATAACAAACCACAGAGTAGTTGGATACTCAGGTTCCCCGGAAGAACACAGCACTAATGGAACAATTGTATCTAAAACTGTATCCATTTCTTGCTGATAAAACCCACTTTAATCTAATTGGTTATGCTTCTTCTGGGGCTTACTGAACAATAAGGTATGTAATAAATACCAGCACTCTGTGAACTAGTTCGGGATGTTGGGACACCTTTAATTCACAATTTTCAGCTTTGAGTCTTACACTAAGCATTCAACAAATGTTTTTTTATTTCTGAATTTAGCTTGGATTCAGTTTGAGTATGGGCTACAAGATTTCACAATGCTTAATATTTAAATATAAATATGGATTGTAACTTTTTTTTTATTTCCCCAGTGCTGGAGGCCAGTTATCTCAGGGTTCAAATTTATCCATTAATACCAACCAAAACATCAATATAAAGTCCGAACCAATTTCACCTCCACGGGACCGTGTGACTTCATCTGGGTTCCCGCAGCAGCAGCAGCAGCAGCAGCAATCGCGGCAGGAAATGGGTCGTTCCCCTGTTGACAGTCTCAGTAGTTCCAGCAGTTCTTATGATGGCAGTGATCGGGAGGACCCAAGAAGTGATTTCCATTCACCTGTTGGGTTGGGAAGACCACCAAATACAGAAGATAGAGAGAGCCCATCAGTGAAACGAATGAGAGTGGACACATGGGCGACATAAACTTTCAGCATTGCCACTTCTATTTTGTGTTATCACAGTGAACTGTCCTGACATATCTAAATATATAAATAAGGACATGAAATAAATATATTTATATGTATATACATACATGCATATATATATCTTCACATATGTATATATATGTGCGAGTGTATGTAGCATACACAAAATCATCAGGCACTTACTACATACTCCTTGTATAGCAGCAGATGTCCCATGGTAAAAATATAACAAAACAATCCTATAGGTATTGGTCTAGTCTGGCACTTACCTGGACATGCTGTTTTAATAATAGAACCTGTTCTGCAAAGAAACATTGTACCAGTCTATAATCCTTCCACTGTAGATTGCAGAAACCAAGAGGGCTCCCCTGTAGTAATGTCCCCATGTGTGGCTACTTGTAGTTAAGAAACAATGCTTTGTAGCAGCAGAGCAGTAGAAAAGCAGGAAAAAGAAAGCAATACTGTACATAAAATGTCCTTTATATTACCCAACCTGGCATGGGTCTCTGTTGCAGAGGGTGCATGGCGAAGGGCTGCAGGTATAAAAACCTGTTTTGCACGTGCAAAAAAAATGTATTGGGTCAAAGAAGTGATTCTTAATTAAAAAAAAAAAAAAAAAGTGAAAGAGAGAAGACCGAGAGAACTCGCATGAAATATTCAGAAAATAGCCTAGACAATAGAGCATTAACAAAGTAAAATTAATATATTAAGTTATAATTGGAATATGTTTGAAAAGTTTCTTTTTACGTTCTATCTTTGAAAAATATAGAAAGAAACGGATTTAGCTCATGTATATTTTATATTAAAGAAAACAATACCCTTATGAATTGAAGACTATATATAAAAGTTATATACAGTACTTTTGGACACATTCTGCTACCAATTATTTATATAAGCCAAAGCTGTATGATGTAGCTTTTTGTAGAGTATAGTTTTATCTTGTTATTTTGACTTTCTAGTTTTTTGCTTTCAGAAGAGGAAAAAACAAACTTGCAGGCAGAACGTTGGGGGAAAAATAAGCCATGAACACTTATTATTCTATATGTAAATTAAAATTTGAGCCAAACTCTTTGTGTATATAGCATCTTAAATATATCACCTTTGGTGTAAGTACCTATGTATTGTACGTTCACCAGATTAAAAAGTATATTTTTGTGGATTGACGCCAACTTGAAAAAAGGCGAGGTCCTTATTAAGTAGAGTATTCACTGTTTAATATTTACTATTTTGTTAAATATACTGTACTTTCTTTGGATTTTAATTATTATTAATATTATTATCCAGATTTTTCAGAGGATGTATAAAGGGGTTGTCCCCTTCACTGGTGGTGAATGTGTGCCGTTAAAATGTAATCTCTGTGCTGTATGGTTAAGCTTCATTATACATTTTATATATATGTATATAAATAGCAAAGTGGCAAAAAAAAAAAACAACAAAAATCCGGTGTTAAGTTCATCCCACATAAATATTAAATATCTGTTACAACACATTTTAAGGCATTATTTTAAAACTGCCTCTTGTGAGAAAATATTCAGTGGAAAAACTTGACCTAATTACTTATGTTAGGGAAATAACGTATCAGATGAGCACAAAAGGTTTTGTAAGTGGTAAGAGGTTTGGGACAAAACATTTGCTTTGGAAAGAAATCCTCTCATGTCTCCTTCTAACATTCAAAAAAATTGAGCAAGAAATCCAATGCCCAACATGCTATGTATCTGGTTAGTACCTAAAGTTCTGATCCTGCAGTTCTTTCTCATGCATTAGTGAGCCTACTTACAAGAGTAAGGGTTTGCCAGATCTGGCTCCAATACAGCAGCAAATTCTCACATCATTCAGGGATGTAAGGAGTACCATAATCTCTGCTTTAAATTGCTGTTGCTAATCTATTGAAGTTTGGCACAGCTTTACTTAAATCTGGATCTGTACAGAGTAAGTCTCTAAGGGGGGTTTTGAGTTAAAACTCTGTGTGCTTTCAAATTCCTGCTACTTCTCTTGTCGTCCTGTGCATGCAATATTATTATATTCCCTCCTCACTACAAACAAAATAAAATGTAGACTTTTAAGAAACATAAATCTAACTACTAGCCACTCTAATTTTGGGAAAAATTGAAGTTGTTTTATGTGTTACACAAAACTCTTCAAAGTTAATTTCATATATTTATTAAAACAGTTTTTTCTTGGGGATTCAACACTTTTAAAGCAAATTTTCTAGTAAAGTCCCTCAGTTGATGCTATAATTTAAAAAATGTGAGAGGTAGAAATGAAAATCCAGTGTATACAGCCATCTCCTTGACATCTGCTTGTACACGGAATGATCCAAGAACAAATGTACTACAGGTGGATTTCAAGACTAGATCTGTTGTGTTGTCAGTGTAACTTTTAAAATTACAGAATTTTTAAAAACATTTGGGGCAAACTTTGACTTACTTTCAAATTAATCTACATTTAGTAAATTGAAACTAGAGTAGTCACGGCAACAGAAGAGCCTATAGAGGATTCCAATTTTCAAATGAAAACTGCATTTCCAAAGTATTTCAGTTCACTTACCGTTTCACAGAACCTTTAATGCTTTGAAAAGTTATGTGATTTTTTTTTTGTTATTTATGCACGTATATGAACTTTGCTGTACATTTGAGTGGGAGTTCTGCATTCACATTTACTGTCTATTTTCTTGTGTGCCTTACGAGATGGCTTTGCTGACTGTATGTCAATAGTCTTTATTTCTATGCAGGTTTGTAAGCAGTACTATTACTGTTTTCTAAAACAATGTTACATAAGGTTTGGAGTTTGTATTTAAATCACGCCAACTGACTGATGTAAAACTTGTGCAATTCTTAGGAATTGAGGATCAGACTGTTAACCTGTTGCCCATAGCCCTGTAATGGACTCCGCTAAATAAGCCTTTGCAACAACATCCCATCTATGTGTGGAAGAACTCCACGCCATGAAAATCATAGGGGAACTCTGATTTTTAATAACACTAATCGTGTACGTTTGGAACATACTTTTTTTTAGGAGATGTAAAAGTGTTTTGTAGAAGAAAGGACACAGCACAGGAGAATATTTCAGCAATTAAAGTATCAATAGAGCATTTTTTATTAAGTACATTTAATAAATGCAGTTCAAGGTAGGGTTGCAGATAGATCAAATCTAGTGTGAACCTACTTGGCTGGTATTGATTAACGAGAGTTGTACCTGCTAAAATGACAAATCATCTTTGAGCTCTAACTAACTAGCTCTAATATTTAAAAAAAAATAAATCAGGTTGGTTGGAGAAAAATGCTTTAGCATTTCCTTTTATTGTAAAGGACACTAATGCATCAAAACCTTTTCTGAATTATTATGCGCACAAGAAATATATAGTAAATAAGGAACATAATAACTCCTAGCAGTTGAATGTGGGAAGAAGTTAAATTAGAATGTGAAAGAAAGACTTATAAATGTAAACAGTTACTTCTTAGTAGAAACTTTCTTCACTTTGCTGTGCAAGAGAACACTGCTTTGCTATATTTAAAATGGCTTTTTTAAAAGAGATTTATGTATTTGGTAAATGTTTGTAGTCAACAGTTCACACAAGAAGCTGTTCCCGGTTTAATGATGATAAGCCGTTTGGCGGCACAAGCTGGACTTTGTTGCCATCCTTGAGATGAATCTTTTAAGAAAAAAAAATAAGTTAATCTCAATTTTTCCCTGAATGTGTTGTTTTTCTTCATTATACAATAAATATTCTAGTGAACTTTTTATCAAATGGTTAAGAAAATGCTAGAAGTTGTTGTAAAATATTTGTATCCTGCATTCACTAAAGTAAAAATACTGGCTTTTACTGTGTACTCCAGGCTCTGTCGTATTTGCAGAGTACAGTGCTTATATCATGCAATTTCTCCTTCTCCCTGGTGCCTGAACGAATACTTCCACCTTGAGTCTAAAGAGCATCTGTTAATAGAATCGTGGACCCATTTTCACCCGGATGGATTGTTTTTAAACTGATAAAATTATATCCATTCATATATTTTTCTCATTGCAACCAGAATGAAGAGTAGTTCTGACATAAATCCATATAATAAAAGAAATATGGTAAAATATGAATAACACTTTATGAATAGACAAATACAAAAATTGGTGTAAATGAAATTTTCATAATTTACATAACTCCTTTGTAATGTTGAAATGGGCATATTTCCTTCCCCTAACGTTTGCTCTTCCATTGCGCTTGCATGCTGGATTGGCATTTATAAGTGTGCTCAAGAATGCTGGGTTGCTGATTATATTTAAATAAAAAAGTATTAATGCATTTGAGGAGGGACGGGGTAAAAAAAACCCCTCCCATGAAGAATAAATGTGCTTTGGAAATAATAAAATCTGGTGAGTGTACTAGCCTCTAGCTTCCCTTGAGAAATGTTGTTAGGTATATTTGTGGCTGCTGCTGGTTCACTCTTTTCCTGTAGGGGGCAGGGCTTTGCTTTCATCAGTTATCCCTGCCTCACTTCTCCAGTTGTCCTGCAGATTATTTTAGGTGCCACTCCTCTTTAGCACCATGAAATGTGGGCTCTCCTGATGGCTGTGCTTCCCTTCTGCTGGAACTCATCCATAGGGCAGTACCATCCAATGCTCCAGACTTCTCTTCTGGAAGCTTCTGCCCATGTGCCCTGACAGCTGTACCCTGCACTTCATTTCTTCCTGCTTCCCCTGGGTTTCTGCTGCTGCCTCAAATTCCTAGAGAGCTCGATGCAGCCATAGCAATGGAGGCGTGAAAGCTCACAACTGTTGCTAACCATGGCGCAACTTCTGGTGCTGGGCTAGAAGAATGGTCAACTGGCAAGGAGTCAGCTCACTGCTAACTGATAATTCCGCTAATGAAGCAGGAGAAACCTCTCTTCCCCAAGAGCCTTATCACACAATTTCAGGTTCTGAATCTCTCACAGGGAGCCCCTACCTGCACCCGAACCCCCCGGCCCCTCCAAAAAAAAACTTGTCATCTGTCCCACTGGGCTAAACTCTGCACTTCACCACTGAAAACTGCTTCGGTTTCTCCTTTTCCTGATTTATCTTGCTCAAGCAGCAGCTTTCCTAGCTCTCGCATTCCATTACAAGTTGGAGTCTGGGAGCTTATTTCAATTCCTGACTCTGGTGGAGGGCCCTTATTGGCAGGTTTTGAAAGCTGGTTGAATCTTATGGCTAAAAACATTCACAGTGCAGCTACAGCTGCTGAAAATGAATTCATTGTTATTTCCTAGTTAGCTCCCACAAGTACCTTGCTCTAGGCTTTATGATGGGTTTTTAAAGCTGGTTTTGTCTCTGATGTGTGCCAGCAGAGAATGTACGAGGAGTCCTGTCCAGTCAGATGCTATGGTACAATAGGCCTGGTCAAACAACTGTGGTCGTCGAAATGACCATGTCACCATATGAAAAGGCAGGTGTTGAGCACAAAAGTGGCAACTAGTAATAGAATGAAGTAGCAACCAATGCTGCAGCTCCTGGCGGCTGACTGTATTAACTACTCTGGTATCCAAGAGTTAAAACAGATTGTAACACATTGAACTGCGCACAATTGTAGTAAACGCTGGATTAGTAAAACTTGCTATGTTTGGAAACCTAACACGGGCTTGGGAGGCTCCTAAAATGGAGGCAACGTTTCCATGTTTGGCTATAGTATTGTTTGAAGAGATTTCCCTGCTCACCTCTTTCTGCAGTGGCTCAATGCGTCCGTGGGTGCGTTGCTTTCTGGATATCAAGAGACTACATCATGAGGTCATTTCTTTCGGGGGGCAGAGGGGTTGGTGAGCAATGTGCCGCCTTTGGCGGTGATTTGTGGGATAGGTTTCAGTGGTCTAGACAGTCCCAGAGGGGAAACGCCACTGCGTTGATTATTTTGTACAGCACACATGGCATTGACATGGAGGTGGTGACATGCTTATCTTATCACTTGTTACTGTAACATTGTTCCTTGTGCCCAGGTTAGTATTGCAAGGACACCAGTTGGAGTACCTAAGGGATCTTCCATCCCTTTATAGAATGTTTCCAGTAAGCTTGATCTGCATTTTTCACAGGGGTGACTAAGAAAAGGTGAATGCAGGAGTGAGTGATGGCTAACACAGGGCCTTAAGACTACAGCAATGCCCAGCACATCCCAAGTGAAATAACATCACCCATATACCTGTGTTTTCTTTAATAGCTGTGATAACACTGGTCCAAAGCCTTATCTGGGGATTACTGGCAAGCTGTAGTTAACGGCCCTGTGACAATCATCTCCTCCCTGCCAGCAATAGGTTCCCAGGCAATTCACTGCAGTGTGACTATTACTGCTTTACGGGAATACATTTGATCAAATTTGGTCAACGGACAACCACAGCTAGCACAGGCTGATCTGCTGTACGGGCTACTTTTGCTCCCTTTTTTCACTGTGTGTTGCAATGGCCAGATTCAGAAATAGTGAATGAAAGGTTGCAAGGCTGGGCCTTAATTTAGCAATGTGGTGCAGGATAACTTACTAAAATAACGGTTAAAAGCCTACTGCCAGGCTACTGCACCAAAGTAAGGCTGCCTCTAATTAAATGGAAACAGGAATGTTGCAGCCTCTGCATCCCTAAGAGCAGGGGTGGCCAACCTGAGAAGGCGCCAGAATTTACCAGTGTACATTGCCAAAGAGCCACAGTAATACGGCAGCAGCTCCCAGCACCTCCCCCTCCCCCCCTGCACCTCCCGATCAGCTGTTTCGTGGCATGCAGGAGGCTCTGGGGGGGCGTGGGGGTGGGGGGAGCGAGGGCACTCCAGGCTCAGGGGAGGGGGCAGGAAGGGGTGGAGTCGGGGCAGGGCCTGTGGCAGAGCCCGGGGTTGAGCAGTGAGCACCCCCGGTACATTGGAGAGTTGGAGCCTGTAGCTCCAGCCCCAGAGTCGGTGCCTATGCAAGGAGCCACATGTGGCTCTGGAGCTACGGGTTGGCCACCCCTTCCTAAGAGCAATAAAATCAGTGTGTTGCAAACTGTGGAAACCCCAGTAAATTATGAGGCTTGGAGCTTAATACTGTACATTAGTTTTCAGCTGATGTCTGTCAAACTTCAGCTCAGCCAAGTGCTGCTCAGTACCCAGGTGTGCTGTTTTCTTGAAGCAAACCACCATTTTTGTGACTTCGGGCACAAAGGGATGCGTTGCCTAAGCCGATGGTATTGGCAGCTTTAAAAATGCATGACCGAAGTGCAACCTAAAAAACGTTCTCACAGGAGCAGCCATTGCTACAGTTGTAACGGCATAACACTTTCCATTTTACTCTAGCGTCAGCTGCTACTAACTTTCCAAAGCTTGCGGCGTTGATGCTGGAATGGTCCTAAAGCTTACCTTTGCTAGGCAGTGTGAGCAACACCCTTTCCTGCCTATTTCTGAATTGCCCGAAAGTGAAGGAGCCTGAAGCCAAAATGGCGGGGCGTCAACAGCTGAAGCTGGCAACACAGAAACAGGCTCGCTGAGGCGAAGTGCCTTTGGATGTGCTCAGGGAACTTGGCTTTGACAGAGAACTGAGCCTTTGCATATTGCACACTGAACACATGCAGTCGCTTTCGCATGTGGTGTGTCGTGGCTACAGCTTTGGCTGGGGTTACTGAGTGGGGAAGTAGCCAAGTCACGGTGACTCCCTTACGTGCAAGCTCTAAGGTGTGCGGATGGGAGTCTTGCTCTGCAGTGGTGGAGGACGCACCGGTAATGATCTTCCCCAGGTGTGGAGTGCCGCAATGCCGGAAAAGGGCTCCCTCCAAAGGGGCATGGGCAAGGTGTTCAGATGACGCTTAGCCGAACAATTCTTAACACAGCTTTTGGTGAACATGTAAGCTTCACGGCTGAGGAAGGCTGTATTAGGCAGCTGAAACGGACATAGGCAAAGCAAGTTTGTTTGGTTCTTTCTAAATACATTTCTGTAGGGTTGGTGGATAGCTGTTTAGCTTGTTGCTCTGAGGTTTTGGAGATAGAGACTGCTTTTATTATACCAGATATGGTCAGCTGGTCACGGGGGCAGGGCGCACTGACTCAATGAACTGGGATTATAAGCCCAAAAGAGCAGTTCTGTGAAAATGGCACCATCTTGGATCAGCAGCTCAGCTCCCCATGCCTGTGGAACCTCAGCTGTGCTGACTTCAGTATTTAAGTCAGTGGGTCTCAACCTATTTACCACTGTCGGCCACATCCAATACTACCTATTTGGCCCTGAGGATGTCACATGTGTGCTGATTGGCCTGCGGGCCACAGGTTGAGAATCACTGGTTTAAGTTTACTACTTTTTATTCCTGTTACCCCTGCTGAGCCAACATGGCTGAGAGCGTCTGCTCTGGATTCTCTTCCTCTTTGTAGGCCAACAGACTTGTTTGCTAGTTTCCAAATGTTTTCACCCGTGTAACTCCCTGAAAGCAAGGGCCCTGATGGCACAGGTTATCAATGTGGGGACAATTAGCCTGCAAATGTTTTATTTTAAATGTTGGTATCTGACAAAGGAGGAATCCAGCTTGATTCTCCAGTCCCAGGCTGATTTAAATCACGGGTGGCAGTTTGATGAATTATCTTGAAAACTGAAGGTGTTTGATAAGGAGTCACTGAAACACAGTAAACAAGGGTGATATTTACAGTCAGGTTTCAGAAGAGAACTTTCAACATTCCAGTCTGCCTTCTAGCATGAAAGATTTAGAATCAGAGAAGATCACGGTTGGAAGAGACCTCAGGAGGTCATCTAGTCTAATCCTCTGTTCAAAGCAGGACCAATAGCAACTAAATCATCCCCCAGCCAGGGCTTTGTCAAGCTGGGCCTTAAAATCCTCTAATGATGGAGATTCCACCACCTCCCTAGGGAACC